TAGATGAGAGCCGATGACTGATCTGGATGGACATGACTCACCGCCTTTTCTAATGAGCAACTGTCCTCTGTTTATGTACTTCGGCGGAGCCTTTCATATACCTCAGAAAGGAGAAGGGTGGCACTGGGGAGAGGGCAGGGTAATCTAGATGGCAGGCACCTGCATCCAGCCCCGGTGAGCTGTCTCTCACCATCCCTCTGGACTCCGGCCAGTTGTGAAGTTGCCGCTTTTGAGCATGGAAAAGGCGTAGCTAATCTTCCACGTGCTAATCCGGGTGAAATGCTGTCTGGGCCCACAGGTAGGCTGCCTAAACCCTCGACGAGTAATTGGAGCTAATTAGGCTGGAAGATTACTTTTTTTTTTTTGTTAATATCTGTCCAGGCAATGCCTGGGGGCCCCCCCGGTAGTAAGCAGCGTGCAAACCCAGAACCACCTTACCCCAGGGAGGTTTGCCAGTAGGAGGTTGTCCAGGCCACAGCAGGGTGAGTTGGGTTTTCCTGTTCTCTTGTGTAGACGTGGTCTCATCAGACAGCTGCCCCGCTCACGTTGGCGTTGCTTGTGTTTTGCAGTGACTAAGCGGAGGAAGCTCTTGCTGTCCTAGCACCGCCAGGCCAGACAATCCTTCCCTTGGCTGAAGATCCCGTTGGATCTCTTCCCATAATGGAAGCGTGAGTGCCAAGATCCTCCATGACCTCCAGAAGCCACAACTCCTTACCGAGAACTCTGATGGCTCCACGAATGCTTTCTGAAGGTGCCCTTGGGGGCATCGCCCAAATCACCCCCTCGCTGTACCTGAGCCGGGGCAGCGTCGCCTCCAACCGGCACCTGCTGCTCTCCCGGGGAATCACCTGCATAATCAACGCGACCATCGAGATTCCCAATTTTAACTGGCCCCAGTTTGAATACGTGAAAGTGCCTTTGGCTGACATGCCCAACGCCCCCATCTCCCTGTACTTCGACAGCGTCGCCGACAAGATCAACAGCGTGGCGCGGAAGCACGGGGCCACCTTAGTCCATTGTGCCGCCGGCGTGAGCAGGTCGGCCACCCTCTGCATCGCCTACCTGATGAAGTACCACAAGGTGTCCCTCTTTGAGGCATACAACTGGGTCAAATCGAGACGCCCCGTTATACGCCCCAACGTGGGCTTCTGGAGGCAACTGATAGACTACGAGAGGAAGCTCTTTGGGAAGACGACGGTTAAAATGGTACAGACACCCTATGGCATCATCCCAGACGTTTACGAGAGAGAGAGGAGACCCCTGATGCCTTACTGGGGAATTTAATGGGACTGCAGACAGGAAGCACAACAGAAGGGACGCGCTGATTCCGAGTCGACCAAACGGGAGACATTCCCTTCTCCTTCTACAGCCAACTTTGGTTCTTTACCATACAGCAGAACCTCAACTACTTCTCACCTCACTAACCTGCAAGGCCAACGATTCCCTTCAAAGCATTTCTCTCTACAGGGATTCCCCCATCCGCATTTCTCTGATTTAGCAGAATGAGGTCTCCTTCTAAGTTTATTCCTTTCATAAAGCCTCCCTCCCTTTTTCAGTGAGTTTATTAGTATCCTGTGCGGAAAGGCCTAACAGGCATTGGGCAGAGTTCATGAACAAAGTGCGCTTTGTGATGCGGTAGCCTGGATATTTCGTTAATAGCTTGTTTGCTTCCTTGCAAAATCCTGTAGTGGCTAGGGAGCGGCACTAGCACAGAACGAGCGAGGCCCTACTCTACGGCAGTGGGTTTTTTCCAAGAGCCAGGAAGGCAGGCGTGCAGGGTTGTGGTGCTAGTGCTGGTGTTTTCTTTAACATCCGTAGTGACTCTCAGTATATAGTGTTTGAGATCTTTAGTCAGCTCTTAATCTGTATTAAAAGTAAAAAAAAAAAAAAAAAAAAAAAAAAAAGAAAAAAAAAGAAAAAAAAAAAAGAGTGAAGTCAGTCCGTGTCGGCCACAAGTAAAATAAAATTTTAACGATTCAAATCAAATAAATACAAGATCCTTTTTCACTCATTCCATACCAGGGCAATAGTCCTGGAAAACACTCACACTCCTGAAAAATGCTGGTGTTTTTTGTGGGTGGAAAGTAAACGGAGATCTTGTCCAAATGTGGCTCAAGACAGACGCGAGAGGTTAACCCTCCCCGCCCTGGACAGCCAAAGAAACGTTTAGGAATGTGTGCATGGCCACCTTCCAGAGGGGCTGGGCTGTGTTTTCTAATATTCAATCACCCAGTAAATTGGAAGTAGGTAAATCCGCTTGATTACTTAGCTCTAAGTATGGTCGTGATCTGCCTTAGCCCATTTCTAAATCACTTCATTATGTCCTCAAGGTTATGCTGCATTCTAGAATTATTCTGCAAAACGGCGATCTGTCCAACCTCCCGGACAAGGATGGCTTGACAGAGAAGGCTTTGCCTTGTTCTGTGCCTGACGAGCACGATTCCACCCCGAGGCATGGGAGAAGCCTTCCCCTGGCGTAGCCGCTGCCTCCTGGACGTCGCTCCCCTCCCTGCAGCCGGGAAGGGACGGGTTCCGTTGAAGAGTAGCTGGACCCCCAGGAGAGCAAGGCAAGTCCGTTCCTCAGCGAGACATTTGTGTCCTCTGTTGCATCTCGGAAGGAGGAATACGCAGATTGCTGGATGCTGAGATAGCTATCTGATTTAAATGAGATTCTATACTTGTAAAAAAAAAAAAAATCAATAAAGATTAAACAAAAACATGTGTTGGTTTCCTATTCAGAACGGAGCTAAATGTTTCTCAAGTAACAAGCGAGAACATGGTGTAATACTGAGCAGGGGCTTTGAACAAATCCGGACCTCAGCCTTGAGGAAAATACCGTGATCTGTTCCCACCCCTCGGCTAACTGGTTTACCATCCATCCAGGTGCCCTGCAATTCCTGGTCCTCATCACAAAAACCAGGCAATTAACTTGGCTATTTCAAAATTTTTACCTTCTGAAGTCTCAGCTGAACGGCTGAGGTTTTAAGGAACAGCAGACACGGTTAAAGGTCTTCTCCAAGCTGAAGCCCACCGCGTGAGGACTGCAGCACAAGCAGGCTGCTGGTTCCCTCCCCCCCCAAAAGCCGCTGGGGCTGAAATACCGATATCGCTGGTACAAACCCGTGCCAAGGGCCTCAGCCTCCTTTAAAACTCAGTAAAGCCAGACCTGGTTGGAATAAAAGTGTAGATCAGAGTGAATTTGACACAGAGGCTTTGGCCAGCTCTGACTCAGAATTTTCAAATTTGCTGCAGGGACAAGAGTTTTACAGAGGGGGCAAACGCCACTTGCTTGTGCTCACCGGGGGAGGGAAAGGGCACTCCGCGATTTCCAGGCTCCAGTCTGTGGTCCAGCGAGGACTGCTGTGGAAGTTCACAGACTTGAAATTGGGCCCAAGGCCACTTCCCGGGGGGGGGCTCGGTGGCCCGCGGGCAGGAGAGGGCTCCCTCAGCCCCTGCGGGCACGGAAGTCACGAGGTTGGCCGTGGCTTAATGCCGAACGTGCGCAGGGAGACGCCGCTGTGGGAAGAGTTACGGCAAATCCCGCGGCATCACGAGGGCATCCGAAGCCCACAAGTTTCCCACGTGCATGTATACATCCCCCCGTCCCCCCTGCAGACCCTTCCATTGCCATTCCAAGCTCTTCATCCATGATCCAGGGTGCTCTTAAGGCACAACCGCACATTAAAAACCCCAAATACTTCAATGCCAGTTTTCCCAACAAGCTCCACACACGGATCTCGGTGTCCTCCAGCGTCAGGAGGCCGAAGCGCAGCCCCGTGCGGGCAGGGGCAGGGCTGCTCCTGCTTCTGCAGAGGAGCAAGGACAAAGTTTTGGCTCCCTGATGAAAAGTGAGTTTTGCCCTCGGCCGTGCGCAGTGCAGGTTTCGGGGCTGGGTCCCGGTTTCAGTGACAGACAGACAGACACAGGACACTGACTGCCCATTAAAAAAAAAAAAACCACATTCTGCTCATCTCTCTATTTTTATCGTGAGTTAAACTGTAACCAGGGAAATGGTAAGTAAGAAAAGGAGCTAGAGATTAAAAATCAAGACTAATCGTTAGTCTGGAGACGTTCCGAAAGCGTGACATTTCAAAGGGGAAAAAATACTAAAAACTGAAATCTGCTTGCAAAATTCAACTTCACCTAAAAAATGGACCATGTATCATGCAATGGTATTTTCTGTACAAAAACTGGAAGGTAAAAATTCTCCACTTTGAATCATTATATAGACTTTATACAGGCGCTGCCCTAGAACCTAGGGGAGGGGAAGATGCTCCTGTTCAGCCAAGAAACCATCAAGACTGACTTTTAAACAAAGAGGACTTTAGACCTATTAAATGTGTAACGGCCTAATAAAGCACATTAGGAAAGAAAGAATTCCCCTGAAATACCCCTTGGAGACTATATTACGGAGAAGTGCAATGGTGTTGATACTTGTGGGTATCTGCAAAAGTTCCTCTTGTGTTCATCCCAACGAAAGGTACTTTACATTGAGTGTTTTTTCTCCCTCAAAGTCCAGTTTTTCATGCATCCTCAAACCTATAGAAACCGAGGACGAGAGCGAGCCCCAGTTTAACTCCGGATCGCTGCAAGCACCGGCTGGATTTGAGGGGAAGATCATTCTTCCTGCTCCCCACAGGCTTTTCCAAATGGTTGATATCTTAATTGCTTGAGCAATATACTGTATGTTATTCAGCGAGACATCTTTCAAATACTAGCCACAAAGAAGGTTTCACTTGAACAGCTTCATTATGTTTAAGGCCCTTTTTGTTTAAGCCTTTCCAGGCCTCTCCCGAGTGACGGGAAGATTTCACTCTGCCCCCGGATTTCGGAGGAGGAGCCCCCAGGCCAGCGCCCGCGGGGCTCTCACCGGAGGTGACAACTCTGGTGCCAGCAAGCAGCAAAAGCAACGTTTTCTTCTAGCTGCATCCTGGAACAAGCCACTTCACAGGTCGGTCAGATACGAAACGAGCTCTTTATTGAACACAAGGTTTGAATCTCAACACAGGATTTATAGATCACGGCGAGAATTAAGGGAGTAAACAACATACTAAGGTCAATTAGTAACACTTATTGGATTTAAAATATCAGCAGTGACTCCAGCACAGCACAAACCGAAACAACTCCAACTAATCATCACAAAACCACTTTCAGAAGAGAAATAATGTTCGCCCCGAGGGCGGAATAAAGCAGCACAATCTAAAGGGAAATTTTCTGTCCACTTTTCTTCATAAAATTATGACATTTATATTTTAATATTGAGAACTGGAATTAAACACAGGTCCAGAGAGAGAAAAAAAATCTTCCAGAAAAAGTAGTTTGTACAATAGCAGCTTTTATTGAAAAGGCAGTTTTTGTTTCAAGTTTAATTAATCCAACATGTAGCTAAACTGGAGCATTCCTTGGGTTTTCATGAGCTTCTTCTCAACCTTAGGTTGAACTGCCCTATCACTTCATATTTACCGCACAAATCTCAAGGAAAGAGCTGCTCAAGACAAACCCAGGCGAAGAGAAGCTGCTGCCAGAGAGGAAAAGTCAGCGGGACAGTCAAGTGCGGAACATAATTCCCACGCCACAAATAACCTCTGAGCAGCGACAGCCAACACGGGTCGCCAGCCTGGGGAGATACTCAGCCCAGAGCACGGCAACGGGCGGGCAGGGGAACGGGCTGGAGCTCCCCAGCACTCCCGCCACCAGGGAAAAACCGCAACGCACGAAGGCAGCACCGAAGCATCAAGGATACAACTGGGCAAAGTGATCTACACGTTAAATAACCAAGCGAATAATCTCTTAGAATTCCAAATATCCACAAATATACAGAAAAATCACTGCCCATAGGTAACGCCAAGGCAGCTCCAAAGAACACATACGTTAAAAAAAAAAAAAAAGAAAGAAAATCCCATTTCTCTTTTCTAGCCAAAGCTACATGCAGAAAAAGGAGTTACGTTTATGAAATCCAACACAACCAAAGCGCAAGGCAGCGTGCCCATCAGCCTGGACGCCAGGGAAGCAGGGGAACGTGGTCTGTTAGGATGCACTGTAGAAAATACCGTCACCTTGGATACAGCTTGCAAGGACACGGGGCTTTGCCTGGCAGCGCAGGATCGGAGAAGATGCTGAATGCAACAGTGAGTCATTTTAATGACTGGGATACGGGAACGAGAGGATCCTGGTTGTGCACCGCCTTTATCGAGGGCATCGACCTGCCACCCCTTCGGTGTATTCCCACGACGTGAAGGTGCTCGGTTCAGAACGCTTTCTGCTTGCCTCGAGCGCGGTGATAGCGCCGGCTGCTTTCCCCTTCTGCAGGGAGCGAGCAGGCAGCAGTGTCACCCTTCAGTGAGCTCTGCTGCAATTATAATTGTAAATGTCGATTCCTTGTTTTTATGGGCCAAAAGACACGCTGGATACGTCTGAGAGAGGGAACTTACTCGCTTGACAAGTATGTTAACAAGTACAAGAAAAACATCACTGAAAAATGCTTTTATGACAATATAGCTGGTGCTGTATTTGAAATACTGGTTGCTTTAAGCTTCACATTGTGGCCTCTTTTCTTTGTGGCATTCTCTTTTAATTAGGAAAAAAAAAAAAAATCCTCTCTAGCTAAGTGTTCAGGAACTGTGGTGGAAACCCACGCTGACAATCAAGTCCCTTTTCCCAATATAGCATTTCATAAGCAGCAGCCTTTGCGTCAGCCAGATACTCGAAACCACTTGAGAAGTCCCCTTGCTAGCAGCGAGACGAGGCATTTGCTCGAAGCCAGCCGATGCTGAAGTGCCTCTGGGCTTCGGGAGGCAAAAGCGAGCGGCGGCTTCCCGTGCCGAGCGGAGCCCACGCCTCCCTGGGCACGCCGGCGGTGCGCAGCAGCCCCGCGTTACGCTGGAAACCAACGTACGTGCTCGAAAGCCACGGTGCTGGAACTGTTTCACACCTAATAAACGAAACGGAGCGCGAGCAAAGAGCGACTGCCCTTTTTTCGATAATTACCGGGCAGCAGAAAGCTGGCAGTCACTGCCACGCTGCTGAAAATCCGCCACTTGATTAGCTTTGAGCTTGCGACTGGAGGCACAAGTTGCTTATTTTATGAATGAGCTGATTTCGGGCAGCAAGAAGATGTATTTTCATCTGTGTAAATAAGGGGCCAGACACCTAGCACTCCTCCTATTAGCCAAGGTTCTTTCATTTGGTATAATTAATGGTTTAACTAAGCCTTTTTCTTTTTTTTTTTTAAATATGAAGCATCAGTTTTCCTCATTGTAGTTTCTATCTCAGCAAACAACCACCGGTCAGTGTCAGCTATTTATTGATAACGGAGGCAAGATTAATTTGGAAGAGCTGTTGCTGTCCTTGGAGAGAAGGGAGATTATTTCTAGAGATCCAAGAAACTTAAGAATGAAGCAGCAAGTTGCACCCGATGGATAGACACCCCACGCCATTCACTGCAGACCGAGTAAGACTGGACAGTGGTAGGGCTCTTGTGACACTGCCATGAGGCTCCCGCTAGGCCAAGAGCTCTGTCACGAGCCCGACAGCTGATCGCGCTGTCATCTGGACGTAGTGCCTGGAGAGAGAGCCAGGTACTTCAGATGTGGGTAACGGTTTGGGATCGTCCGTCACACCCATCTCCCTCTGCCCAGACAAGCGTACCTGCCCTAAGCGATGCCACACCCTGCTTGGAAAACCAGCCTGCTCGAGCAGAGCCCCCTTCAGGGGGAGATCGCCCCCAGCTGCAGCAGGAGCTGAGGGCCAGTCCCGAGAGAAACATGCTACTACAGATAGCGCTGGACCGCACAAGTTACACGCAAGCATCCCATCAAGAAAAGCGTATTAACGTACAAAAAAGGCCAAAAAACCCCATATATATACAGGAGCAGACCTGCTGTGGGAGTGAAGCCCAGTTTCCGACAGGGATGCAGCCCCACAACTACCAAAGGGTCGGGTGAAACATAACAAACCATACCTGTAGGTCAGGACGAGCCCAAGGAAGGAGTTTGTCTGTATTTACACCACAAAGACCACAAATTTTAAAATCCAGCTGCCTGTACTAAAGAATCCAGATATGACAGGGAAGATGTCAACAGTTTTTCCAAGTCCTTACCCCCAGCACTAACCAGCCATGCGCAGGAATACAGTATAATTTACTATACAGAACAGTGGAAGCATAAATAGACAATAGCTCTCCGCAGCCTCATTCCTTCTAAGTCAAGAACTCATTTTGCCTTGGAAGTCACCGTGACTCGTGCACTGTAACAGTGCAGCAGCAAACATTTAAAGAACGTCATCACGGCCTGTATACCAAAAACATTAAAGAAAAGATTTGTTTGCAAACACGTACTTCAAGTATTTCAGCGGTCACTTCTACGCAAGTCAGTCTAGCACTTCAGTTGTTCTTGGAAGCGAGGTGCCGTCCTCTCTGAGAGATCCACGCGCTTGGTCAGCAGGCTGGTTGGTCACAAGGACTAACCTGCTTTCATCTTGAGAAAGTCTGAAAGGCCGCGGGTTTTGCCACACTACATTTTTTTTCCTGGTTTTCTGAAACACGGGCCATTTCAAGTGAGATTCTTCACGAGCAATTTGTACGTGACCAGTGGCTTTGACCCGCTACGGTTCAAAAAAATCAACCCGAAACATTTCAAACACTAACCGCACCTCAAGCCTTTCCACTTACCCCACCACACCATCTACCCCAAATGTCCCGCATTATTAGACCCGATACTCCGTCTTCAGCGCAACCGCTTTCAGAGCAGGTCTGGCAAAATGAGACCGGGAGGTTTTGGCTCCACACAGTTGATCCAGAAATTCGCACAGCTTGCATGGTACTGGTGCCCTCCGTACGCCAGCTTAAAGTTATCCATTTCCGAATTAAAGGCCTAAAACAACAAGAATTGAAAGGAGTGTGACAGTCTCATCTACCCCGGGGTCTAGAAACTAGAGTGGACAATGGATACGCACAGGGATCACACCACAACGGCACACAGCGTGGTAGGACCCTCTCGCTCTAAACACACCACCCAATAAACCACATTCCGTTTTAGCCTGCAAAGTGTTTGCAGGTGGATGAAAACTCCAGCCGTCACACCTGGTGCCTGCTTTGCCTGTCCCCCCTCTGATCAGCATGCTGCCTGCTCTGACACCCGGCAACTAACTCTGTTTCGTGCACCTCCCACCTCTGCTCCGTGGCCGTACAAGAGACAAGCTTGTTCTGCCAGCCAGTAGAGAGCTACTGCAGTTATTTCCCTGGCTCCATTTTCGCTGTGAATTAGGCAGGTGCGATGCCCGATATTAGCGTTATTTCGGGTTGAATTTGATCCACTTTCTTCTGTTAATTGAACCTGCTTTACAATAGGAGCTTCTGAACAGAGGGCGTGAAGCCATGAACAAGCTTAAAACATCGCGATGTTTGTTGCTAGGAGATCCTTTCCAATGCTTCACAGCTACCTATTTAAAAAATATTCTAACCCTCTTCCCCACAGCCTGGATTTCCTGCAGAGATTTCTAAAAATGCCGTTGCCTACTACATATAGCCAAAAGTCAATATTTGTAGCAAAAAAAAAAACCCTACGGTTCCCCCTCTTCTGCAACAGACACACAGGCAGCTACAAATTCACTCACTGCAGTGAATTTTCTACCACACAAACAGAAGTAGCACAAAACCAGAAAGCTCTTCACAAGATACAAGCATGCAGACAAGACAAAGGGGAGGCTCTAGAGCATGTTAGTTGATCAGATCAGGTGTTAACGGCCACAGAAAATGACTAGAAGAAAAGGATTAATGATTGGTACAATTGACAATGACAGCTGAAAGCCAGTTAGCAGTTCAGCCTTCCACACTCAACTAAGGATGATTCTATAAAGAATATGTTTTTTACAGATTCATACTTTTCTAGGAAGCTCTTCCACAGGTTTCTCTTCTTTCTGAAATAACGTTGAAACCAAAAAGTCAGCAAAACTGCCAATATATGTTAACGGGTTGGCATTACTCTGTACACATCCTGGGATTCCCTCCCAGCTCTGCTAATTGCGACAGTCCCCTCCTGGCGATCCTCAGAGATGCATTTCATAATGAAAAGTCATTAAAATTTTTATTTTTTTAAAAAATACACATACTTTTTAAGTCTTAGTATCCCAGTTTCTTCCCCATTACGAACAATTTAACTCAACCCTTTATCCACACCTGTCTCATAGCCAAAGCCCAGTGCATACAGGACACAGACTGAGTCCCATCTAGAGGTCAGATTTTGCCTTTGCTACTTCCAGTTACAAATTATAGCCGTGAAATTCTTTTTTAAATACACCCAAGGCCTAAGCAAAAGACCAAACTGTAAATTAAAAAAAAAGAGTTTAACGATAGAGGCCGTTGTACTTACTTTACTCCTTGAATCCACGTTTAGGAGGCACACTCCGCAAGCAAGGTCTTGGGCATTTTTAATCCCTGGGCGCAGCATACAAGAAGAGAAATCCAGTGAGTTTTCGTCTGGCTAAAGAAACGAGACAATAAGATTTAGGCATTTTCAATGACTGAGAAAAGTGTCAGACATCGTGATAAAAATCATCGCTCTGGTGGCTGCTGAGAGCCCCAGCATCACGCCGGCCACATGGCAGGGACGACGTACGACGTTTCCTCATCAACTGATGCATGATTTAACCAAAGCCCTTAGTCCCTATTTGCAGCCCTGCTATGCAGTCTCCATCAGCCTTCATTCATAACACTCAGGCTCTTGAAAAAGGGTTAGACTACAAAGGAAAGAATTCTTAAGTTCCCCGTTCCCACATCAAAAGGGGAAGAAACTTCTGAGGAAAGAGCCCAGGCGGCGGCTGCTCCATTTCAACTGCAGCGTATGAAGAACTGGCCGAAGACAAACAGTGGAATGCAGCAGCTATTTGTGCAGCTGCAAGGAAGCGAGGCCTCGGCCAGCGCAGCTTCCACTGGTTCGCATTTGAAGTGGTGTCTGTATCAGAGTTTACTGTCCCGAACTCCTATTATTGCCTCATCAAAAAAAGGGCAGTTGTTATTCTTTCTGAAGGTTTTTCTGAAGCTAGAATATGGCACAGCAGTAAAAAATGGGATATTAAGGTTAACCAAGCCATGGAAGAATTAAGGTCACCAGCCGCACGCAAGCTCAGGTTAAACAGAGGCAAAGGATGGGAGAACAAGCCTGCAAATAAGCGACTTTTCCGATACATAATCTTACGTTTCGGCCACAAAATAAATGATAATTTAAAAATTTGTACAGGGGCGGTGTAAAACTGTTGAAGTTTCGCTTGAAGGTAGCGGTGCAAATAAAAACAACGACTAGGAATGCAAGAAGCTTTAAAAAATGGTGTGATCCTAGAACGCGCGTACTCCTAATTCACACTCTAGGCGTGCTGATCACGCTCCCCTCCTGAACGGCTGGAGAATAATGGGAATTCTGAAAAAAAAACCCTTTAATCTTTAAGTAGATCAATCAAATTAATAAAGGCACTTTAATATTTATTTACCAAATGCACGAGCGAAGCAAATGAGAAGGTCATCCTGCAATTTGCAGTGAAAAACCACAAGGCTGTGCATAAAATTACCTTGTAACGAAATCCTTTCAAAGATAAAATTAACCTTTCTGAGCACACGCCTCTGAGCTAGAACACTTCTCTCTACTGAATTGGCACTTCTGCATCATCTGGGGTCGGTGACTGCAACACCAGGGGAAGAAGGTCTGGGTCCCACTCCTTCCAGTGACCCAGGTGGAGAAGAGAAACAGAAAGGGATGATTTTGAGAGTTCCAGGAGTCCCTGTCTCTTAGATAACTTCAGAGGTGCTGTGTGTGTATGAGAAGTCATTATTCACAGCTCCCAATACGTTTAAAACTTATCTGGACCGCTGCAGCTCGGAGAACATGTGGCCAAGCTTCGGACTTGAAGGTAATCCCTGTAATCTTCCAAGGAAAAGTGCTTTAAGAACTAAATTTTAATCCACTTGCTTAAAATCAGGAGAGGATCCTGATAGCTTTTTAGATTGTTCCTATCCACAATGCCAGAGTTCAAACAGATGAATCCCAGTCTATCCACTTCATCTGCCAAGCAGTAAAATATTATGTACTGCCAAGTATAAATTTCATGCTATGACAGGCTTTGTGCAACACAGGACATCACCAAAAATACCTGCTTGCCACCGCTGTTTGTACCGCAGAGGTTTAAAATGTGTAGAAGGTGTGTAAAAAGGGACTGAGCATTCATAATACCTGGTTTGCAGGGAATGACAGTGAGCTGAAGATGGCTATTTCGAGCAGAAACCAAGTACTCTGGGCTTTATTTATAAACGAGTGTTTATTGGGAAGCAAAAATCGTTAGTGGCCATAGCTGCATTGCAGGAAGGAAGCCACAAATTAGGACATTCAGTGGAAACATAACCATGGTAATGATCTGCTTATCGATGCTTGACGCGAGGCACTGACACTAACTAAGAGTTAAGGCTCCTTGGTTAAAGGGATCCATTATGCAAGATGATATCAAGCACCCAAAGGCGGATGATTCCCTAAAAATACGAGTTTTACCGTGGTTAAAGAAACTCTTTTTGCACACTGCATTCCCTGCAACATACACAAAAAAGCACAGGATGTTTAAGGGCAAGGGGCCCTTCTTGCCCTCTCATTGTGTATATTCTGTACCTGGCCCCAGTGTGCCCTTCTTTTTCGCCCGGTTATGCAGACAGCTCCCAAGCTCCTACCAGACTGTCTCAGAGCAATCGAGCTTTTCCTGGCAGCTCTATTCAGAGGAGGAAAAGCTATTTAGTCTGCAGCAGGAACCAAAACAAACTTAGGCGTTTCCAAACGCAGAGAGAAAGGAAAAGAGCTCAGTTACTCCTGTGTTGCTCCACTGTCTGCTTTTGCATTAACACTAATTGCAGGGCTATTACAGAGACAAGATATGCCAGTTATTCTGGCTTCATAAAATTCCTTATTTAAATTTTATTAAATCTCCCTTACTGGAGAGGTCCACAGACATACAGGATATCATCACGTTTGTACATAAATAACAGTGTTCTTGCAGAGAGCTTTAAACTGGATTTCACAAATAAGTGCCTTTCCATTTTGCAAGAGAAAAATACAAACTGTAAAGCTAGGACAGCCCGTTAAGTCACTTTACATATAATGATGACATTTCTTTTAGTAAAGACCTAGCTTATTTTTGGTCTTACCGTTAAAGCAGCAAGTGACATGAAGCTTATTAGGTTGTTCCACACTTTATCGATATCCTTCAGGAGCTGCTGGAGTTTCTCACTACAGACAGCAGTTGCTTTGATACCCAGTTCAACTCTCTTGGTTACTCTGTAGACTTCAACAACCCCTGTTGATACAAAACACAGTGGAGGAGGGCAGAGAACTCACTGCAAGCACAGGATCCCGAAGCTTTAGCTCGGGAATAGCGCAGAACAGGCATGGCACACGGAAGGCGGTCACGGGCAGTTATTGCAAAGGAGCAGCTTCATTTATTTAGCAGGAGACTTGGTCATTGTACCACTTTGGAACGAGTGATTATGTATCACTGTTTTTCAGAGGAGAACTTTCAATGTAAAAGACATGGTAAATTAAAACATACCTAGTAAATATTCCATGCCTTGAGCAGACTGGATAACTTCAGTGCAAACAGATGAACTACTTATTCCGTTTAAGGTATCATTTGCTTTCTTTATGACCTGGTGGAAAAAAATTTCATGAAGTGATGGTGTTATATCTACCTTAAAATAATAATTACGAACAAGGATGTCCCCAACAGAAACTGTTATACAAAAGGAGGAGGCAAATAATAATAAAATAAGAAATAATTGCCATAGTCCATCACATTTTTATATATCCATGCTGTAAATATAGGTAGGTCAGGGGAAAAGTATAAACATTGAAAACATTAATGTATTCCCCCAAATATTTTCATTACCAAAATAATAGCTTTCAGAGTGTGCATGCATTGCTTATCTAGTTTAATAACAGCATTCACAGTTTTGGCTGTCTAACAGTCAAATTTCTGCAAAGCAGAAATTTTAAGGAAAACTAAGCTGGCTGTGAAACATCTGACACCCATCGCCAGAAGATTAACGGCCCCTCCGCACAGCACATTAAACCAGCCCGTTTCTCAAGAAGCGCTGGAGAGCCAGACACTGGTACCAGTGCCCCCAACAACAGGCCTTACTGGGCACCCGAAACACGGGAACGCCACAGGAGCGAGTTAACTTGAAAATTTAGGCAAAAGCCAAAGTAATCACAAATGACAGGGAGATTAGCCTAGGGTCTGTAACTGAGGAGGCAAGGCTTCTGCTGGGTGACAGCTTCTGGTTTAAAACCGTAATCCCCTCGGGCTGGTTCACACCCTTTCTGTGCCTGTACGGTCTCAAACACCGACTGAGGAGGTGCCTGCAGGAAGGAGGAGAAGTTTCGGAGGAGGCCACACGCTTACCTGCAGGGCACTCTCCAAGCACCTTTGCCATTCATACGCATACCTCTCGCTTTCCTATTTGAAAGAAAAGGACAGTCTGAATCTTGTTCCCACACGCATCTCCCCTTCTCCTATCCCAACAGGCATGCAGCAGACAGGTATTTTGAGAGACTATTTGCAGATTAGCTATGTAAACTTTTAACATACCTATTCCCAATTTCCCCCCCCCATTCTTTAGACATTCTCTTTGCACCTGAAGTCTAAAATTTGAATTCTGGGAGTCAGAACTAGTTTCAAAAGGAAGAACATAAACAAATGGGTAAAAAGTTTGCATTGCACATACCTATTCCCAACACATCTGTTACAGGTCTGCTGTTGTAGAAATGGGGATTGGCAGAACTTAATCTGAGTCCTTTTCCCATCTATTCTCAAGATGAGCAAGAGACATAACTACCACAGCCAAAAAAGTTAAGCCATTTCCCAAAGCCAGTGGTCTCGGTGACAAAGCTGGGATTAGATTTAAGTTGTAACTTATTTCCAGTTACAAGCTTAGGCTGCAAGGTCAAGTGTTTCTGACTGACTTTCAGATGACAGCATTTTTTTCCCCAATCCACAAGACTTTAAAGACAGGAAAGAAGAAATCTCCTTTATGAGCAGTTTCCAATGAAAACATCTAACCTTACCCAGATGCCCTCTTAGAATCGTACCTTAAATTCAAATAGCTAAAGTCCCAAAGAGCTGGGATACAGAACACCCTTGACATCACACTGATGAAAGTCGTTGACAATTTACTTGCATTCCAGATAATTCCTTACCTCAACTTCCCCAGTCAAATCTTTGTATTTGTCTCTGATGACGGGCAAAGCAGGCTTCTCACTTAGAGTATTTGAGCGATCTCTAAATGGCTGTTCCAAAACTGGTAAAGGTGAAGAACGACTTATTTCTCGGTCACCTAGGCTTAAGCTCCTTTTATGTGACCCTAAACAGGCAGGATATAAACAAGTTACTCTTTTACTCATAAAGGCAAGGACTATTTAAAACGAATAAAGTAGTAGCAAGGCATCACTGCTACTCCAGAAGGACAAAGCCTTCTCTTTACTCAGTGACTGCTGCAAATTCCCCCAGTTTCTCAATTCTTACCATTTTTTGGCACAATTTTTTTTTTTCCCTTCTAGAAAGAGACCTGCTCCAAACACAACAGAAATCAATGAGAAGATTCAGCTCGTTTCCAGTAGCCTTTGGAACAATCTCCATTGGCTAATTTATAATTTGATTAGAAAAAATTAGCCTTTGATAAGCACATGCATTATGGGCTTCCTCCACCCTGAGCAGGCTTACCTTGAACAGACAGGTCAAAGGTAGCCAGTTCACTCTTGATCATCTCTTCACTAGACTTCACCTTGCCTTGGGAAGTTGCCACCAAGAAGTCAAACTTGCTGATTTTTGGCTTTTCACTTTGAAATTCTCCAAAGTCATCTGTGGACTCTCTTCGCAGTTCAGAAGAGAGACCGCTAGCGAGGAAATCTGCCTCTGGGTTTGTGTCAGCTGCTGCTGCATCCTGTGCTTCTGACGAAGGTCTGGCAAAATCACCGAAGTCGCCAATGTCATCGTCACTTGGAGCGCTGGATATTGGTCCAGAGTCTTTAAAGTTTGCAAAGGCTGCAAAGGAAACATCCTGTGAAGCATCCTCGCTAGAAAAGGTTGTCACTTTGGAAACTGTTGTCATGGTAATGTTTTCTGAACTGCCAAACAAGGTCTCCTTCTTCTGAAGAACAGAAGTAGCCGCAGAGGATCCACTTCCTGAAGACTGGGCAAAGGAGGAGGAGAGCTTCTTGCCCTGATGAATGTCTTCTTTGTCGGACCAGTCATAGCTTGCCAGGCTGCTGACTGCAGACCCACTGTTATAGCTTCCAAATGGGGCACATTTTAAGTCATCTATATCTGAGAAAAACAAACCCCTACAATTAGAAGCTGAAGTTCAAACATGAATCTCTCCACACTGCATAAAAACAACAGCGACTTGCTAAAAGTCGTAAAGAACTGCAAGGACAAACACAGTGAATTGTTGTTTCAATGAGGCTTAAACTACAGTTTGCACAAAAATAATCCGGAAAAACCCCTGAGCATTTAACACAGAAATTTTGCCATTTAATAAATGTGAGCCTTGACCTTTGAATAGTGTCTTATATTTTAAGCTGAAAGTCACAGTCCCACTACGGGTAGTGAAGAAACACCGAAAAAAATAAACGTTTCTAGAGTACACACGGCACAGATCACCAGTTCAATTTTCTGATGCTGGCTGCAGAATCTGCAATCAAAATGTAAACATTAGCAACTCAAACATCTTATCGCATCATTTCATCTTATCAAAACCAACCGCACGGCAGACTGTGCTAACTTTTCCATTCCCTCTGATACAGTATTAATATGCTTTAATTTTATATTCATGCTTTGATACAAATAACGTATAAAAATGTGCTGCAAGAATGTTTAAAAAAATAGAAATCCTGTTTAAGCTTATCACAGTCACTGTAGCGCCGCACGGCCGACTCTTCAAACCTACAGGTACTAGGAATGCCACAAATATTGTGAAGATCTTGTTTTAGCTTTTACAAACTAGTAATTCAGTTTAGAGAAAATCCAATTATTTTACAGAAAGCTCCAAACGTTTATACTCACCCAGCAATTATATGGGCCAATAGGTTCTCCTCACTGCCATGAGTGGGTATGAGATCTAGCCCGGCTGCTTACATGAGAGCCGGCACAGGAGCCTGCACAGTGACCAGGGTCTGCTGGGCTTTGTCCGCTACTCATTCAACTGATCTTTCAGGTCTAGACTGAGATTGATCCGTAGCGAAGGCACAGAGAGCCAGGGGCTGGGGAGTTTTCATTAAAGCATAAAAAAAAAAGCGCCCTACTATACTATGTTTGGCATTTGTTTTCCAGCATTAACAATTGTCAGTTTGGATTAGACATTCAGCCGCTGCTCAGCGCCTAGGGTCAAATGATCGCAAGGTAAAGCAAACCCAGGCCAGAAAACACGTTCTCTTAGCATCGTTTCAGCTGAGACTCTTCTGACAAACATCACGGTCTTAACTGGCTGGCACACAGCAGCGGCAACTTGGGTTTAATGCAGCCAGGGTGGGAACAAGCTGGCTTTCCAGCTGCCCTCTTTATTCGATCTGGCCACACCAGCCCGAGGATTAAACCATTTTAATAAAACATTTCTGCCTTCGTTTATTCATTTTACTGGAAGGGGAGAGCACGCTACGCTTTAGGCTGCTTTCCAGGCACGACCCACATACATAGCTAATTAACAAGTCCAACAAATACACCACATAATGACAGCGTTTAATGGCTGCTGCAATAAAGGGCCCTTTGCAATGGGTCAGCGAGGCACGGCGTGTCATCCATCAGACCTTCCTCAGGGCCAGCCTTCCTGCAGCGGCTGCCTCGGCACGTGACAGCACCTCAATGACAAAGCTGAGCACCTCGCGTGGATGCAGCCAGATTTCAAAGCGCCACTCGAATATGAAATTTGTAGAGCTGGCAGTTTACAGGAGGGCAAACAGGCGAGAGATGAAATCACCTGCTCAGGGCAAAGCTGAAGAGAAAGGAGGCTCCGAGGTGAAAAGGAGCTGACTTGCAAGGGATCGGTAATTTATCACAAGAAACCACACCTTGTGCTCTCAAATACACGGTTTTGTTTAAAGAAGTTAAATGAAAGCTTCGCTAGCATTAAGGGGAGTGCCAGAATAACCTCCAAAATGTTAGCCAACTGTAATTAATCCTGGGATCCTGAAAATACCACAGTGTACTAGGCAAGCTCTTTTTTTTTTTTTTTCAATTTCCGTTGACTCCTAAACCCAGCAGAGATTTAAGCACTGCTATTGTTTCGGTGTTAATCAGGAAATGAAAAGAAAGAGTGGTGAACCTGTTGTGAAGATCTGCACTATCTATTGTGAATGATTTCTTCGATAACTGGTAAGAGTTTGAGCTGAAAACGCATCCTTCAGGGCCAGGTCAGTGTACTCCTCCTGATCCGAGCCCGGCCCAGGGACAGCAGCAGCGGGCTTCGGTGGGAATCCTGAACTCCCCGTGCTTCGCCTGCAATCAATAGGTCACGGCAGGGAAGGCAGAACAATATCTTAATTATTCACAAACTAAGATTCAAGATTCTCTACGTGAATTCACGCAGACATGGAACCCACCCGCATCGGTGTACGAGCTAAGATGACAGTTTAATTCTGTACGTTTCATTTATTTGGACCGTTATAAAAGGATTGCTCTGCTGAATAAACTTTCCAAAGAGTATTGTATTACAGGAAAAATACTGTGTTCAGAGACAAAGTGTTTGCACCTAAAGCAGCTCTAAAACCAAAGTATGAAAAGCAAGAACGTACGTGTGACTGTCCATAACCCAAGGTAAACTAGCTTTTCTAAGAATTTTTATTCTGTTGCAAAACCCCCAACACTCTGCTGTGCCGTGCCCTGCACTTCATAGAATCATTTGCCACAAGTTAGATGTTTTTGAGTAGAGGAAGTAAAACCGTAACCTCTGTCATAGCTACACAAAGCTAAAGGCACATTTGCTGCATAATGGGAAAGAGGAGCTTTCCCCCCCCCGACAGGTATCAGAGCAACTCGCCACCAGACTAATAAGCAAAGCAGCAGTTTACACGTGAAAAGCAGTTCTTGGCTGACCCTAGAGAACCCTTCACGATGTGAGTATCTTTAACACTGGCAAAAAGATTGTTTTATTAAGCAGTGTTAAGAACTGCTGCTCCAACAGCCTTTTTCTTAAAGACTGCAGATACGTGTAATGAATAAAAAAGCCCCAGTTACAACGCTGCAGTTCTAGCCCCTGATATCATAAAAGCTTCATTTTGCTGGTATGGCAATTCAGAATTTAAAAAGACGCATGTGGATCAGTAATATTTTTTTCAAAGAAAGAGATTATTAAGGGGTAAAAAAACCAAAAAATAAAACTACTTTTAAGCATCACACTTAGCGAAGACGGATGCTACGGAGCTACCGCCATTTCCTCCTGGAGGGCTCTTTTAGTAGAAACAGAACCTGAACTGATGAGGAGCATCACATTTTCTCAAAAAAAATGAGCAAAGACTAAATCCACTCAAAATTCTATGAAAACGCTTTGTTTTGGGGGTACGCAATCTTTTTCTGTGAGGTTAAAAGTGATTTCTTAGTTAGCATTTTTTAGAGAGCGCACAGCAAATTCCCTGTCGAAGCAGGGCAAATCTTGACTTGATCGTGCATTAGGAATCCTATAATCCCACCGCAAGAGATATATTTTCGGTGAAATACATCGTCATAAACCAGTATTCCTTAGTAATCTCAGTAGCAATTCCGTGGTGTCTTTCAGAAATGACACAAGAGATTGAGCTCAGTTTAGTTATAAAAATCCAAAAGCTCTTACTGCCAATAGAGTTAAAGCCACATGTCATTAGCGCCATCAGCTTTCCACTGGTGAGACCACGAAACACAGCCCAGATTAAAAACGCTGGGTATAGATTCCCAAACCACTGATAAATGGGGGCAGGGTGGGACGGGTGCGTGTCTGTCTGTAAAAACCAAAGTCAGATCCGTTCAAATATCACATAACCACACTTCTTTTTTTCCTTAAACACATTTTCTAGCGCACCAAGAATGGAAAAAGCGATCTTCGCACTGTCAGGCTGGAGTGCAGCAAGTTTCCGAAGGCTTTAGAAACCAAACCGAGTTTGTATTTCTTCCAAAGCAAAAAGTTTGAAATATTTACCATTTACTTTCCACCCATTTTGAACTACCAAAACCAGAGTCCAAGCTGCCTGATCATCACCTGGGGACAGCTACAGCTACACAAGCCAGCCATGCAGCTGCTGGGGAGAGGCAATAGCTGCCAAGGAACGTACAGGAGAACGCTGACAGAGGATGAAACACAGTTAACACACCATTTCCCCGTGTTATCTCATCTACAGAAAAACTTTACATCCTTCATTTGAGCCAACTATAACAATTTATTCCAGCTACCACGGATTAAGTTATGGCTGGAGGCAATTTACAAGCTGGAGGCTTCAACGTCAACAGTTTAATCATTTAAGGAAAACCCTTGACAGCGTTAGCGATACTCTAAAGAAAACTGAAAAAGACAATTCAGAAGATTGTAACGTATTTAGTGCTTTTAACCAACAGAGGAGACTTTCAAGTTTTTATATTTCTGCTTATATCATGTTCTGATGAAGAAACGTAACTCTCATGTCACTTTTTGGTGGTTAGGGTGGTGCAGGTGGTAGCCAGCGGGACAGCAGCAACGTCCCCCACCCAGAGCTGTTACACTGGGCACATCACCAGCGGCCTGAGCAAGAAGTCCTGAGACTGGAGGGGGACAGACACCACCTCCTTACTGCTTCCCGTGGGGCTCCACCTGACGAAGGCGGAGATGAAAGTGGAGGAATACAGAAGCTGCTACCCGTGCCACTCCTACCAGCAGCACGAAAAACTCAAAGCCCATTTCTCAGCTGGTGAAGTCTGGAACTGTGTTAACGGTAGGGGAGCTACTCCAATTTACTCTTGCTGAAGAAGGGCAGCACCTAGCACTGCTGAGGAGGAAATCATCAAGAATGCTGGCTGAGACAAATTAAAACGAAGGAAGGAGGGGAGAAAAGCCTTCAAACCTTGCGGAATTAAAGAATCTGCTAATACTCTTTTCATTATGACAACAAACAACGTTTCACAGCAGAACCAAGACCCCCGAGCTCGCGGTGGAAGCGGAGGGACGGCTCAGCTCCGTCCTGCAGAAGGCCAGGGCGGCTGCTGTGCCCCTGCGCCCTTCGGCTCCGCCGGGACGGCACTCAGGAAGCACAGACGCACCCTCTCCGCTCTGAGAGGCCTTCGCAGGATAAATAAGTCATGTTCAGCTCTTCTGTTTCCAGAATTACATTAAATGAGAGCAAGTGGGTGAATTTGACTGTCAAGTCTGGACAAAAATGTAATAAAGTAGAGAGTCACGAACATTACTCTCCCTCCTCCAGGTATGATTAGCTGAACAAATACTAATAGCACAAGCCCTGCAGAATGAAGTCTCTCAGGTTTCTGTTCAAGCCTTCAGTTTAAAAAGCTTTAGGGCTAGGCATAACCTACTGGCTCTCCAGAATGAAAGAGGAGTGCTGTTTGGTTTGGGTTTGGTTTTTTTTTCTTCTAAAGTCTCTCAAGATTGGTGTAAAGAAGAAAAAAAAACAAACCCATATTCTGGTTTCTGGTCTGGTTTTTGCTCTTGTGGCAAGGAACTACAAAGACTCAGTTTGCGCTGGTGTAATGCTTTAACTTTATTCCACATCTCAATTATTTTTAGCTTTTTACCTTGTCTGCTAATTTGACGTTAATCCCAAACTGTTAGTGGCCCGGGAATTTGGAGAAATTTGAAGTGACAGAATTATGTGATGCAAATTTGCAGCTGTTGTTCATGTTTGAAAGCTTCAATATCTAGTAAGCCAGGAGTTCCCAAACAGAAAAAGGAAGCAGGGCCCTTTACTTTGGGGCACCGATTAACTCACTCTAGATTAGCTAAATAAACATCAGAATGTTGTTTAATGGGCTCCTACTCGCAAAGGCCTCGACAGCACACATTTTCCAGCGGGTCCCCTTCACAAAGGCGTATCATAACCTCGGCTGGCAGCAGGGAAATCCGGACAAGGAGACAACAGGACAAAGAAAACGTTATTTCTGTCTTCAGTCTGAACCACCACCGTACCCTTGAAACCTACTCACAGAAACGACCCTGCCATCCACACATTTCCTCTATTCAACCCCTCTCAAAAACTGCTCTTTTGAAAAATATTATTTAGCCCGATAACGTAAAGTTTCGGAAGTGCCCAGGGAGCGAGGCCAAAGTGCTGGGAGAGGAGAAGGCAGCTCCTTGCGAGAGAAAGGCACCCGCCAGCTTTAAGGGGATACTATAACTTTAAACTTTGTATTTTTCAGGAAACAGAAATACATTGCTGGTTTGCAACAAATCACACACATCCCCACGTTTTCAAAATATGCCAAGATAATATTTATTAACACAGCAGGACTTACAGATCACAAAAGATAGTGATACATAGGAGCTCATAAGGGCGTTATCAGAGTAAAGCATGCAGGTCAATACTTGCAGAAGAGAGATATCAAAGCAGATCTGAGAAGGCACATTCACACAGGAAATGTTTAGTTGAAATTAGACATTAGAAAAGCAGCAAAAAACCTGAAGTTGATTAAAATATACAGAGATCTCCAATAATGCCAAAGAAAAAGGTACTTTACAGCTTTGTAAGGGCAGCAAATGGATAACCCTTTGAGAATACCCGGACGAGGGTAGGCTCTCGCTGCAACGTTCGGCAGGACGCAGAACCAATTAGGTTCATACAGTATGACTGGGTGCTAATTAAAACGCTTTCGTCTTGGAGTGAAACGTAAATTTGGTTTAAAAGAAGCAGCCCGGTTGAAACTAACAGCATGCAGCCAGTGCTCAAAGGGTTATACGAAGTAAATGCAAGAGAAATCAGGCAACATTAGTATAATTTACCTTCCACACAAAGAATTCTAGCAAAGTTTAAAGAGACAGTATCCCCTTTGGAGAGAGCAAAGCTGAAACCCTTTCTTCCCTCAGAGACCAAAGTCCATCGCATGGGAAGCGACTCAACGATTTCTTTCTAATTCCCAGCGTAAGCAACCTACCTGCCCATACCTGGAAGCTATGCAACGCCAAATCTCGATAGCCAAAGGATAAAGACCTCTGTATCGGCATGTCAGAAAAGTCAAATCACTTATCAGCACCTCTGTCCCGCTGCTGTTTCACTGGAGGTGTTACACGGTGCTTGCAAACGTGATTAGTCTCTCATTTCTCAGCAGTGAGGATGACAAAGGGATACTGTCCCTTTTTGACATTGATTTACAGATCGAAGAAAATTAAGAGGAAAAAAATAAATCTGCTTTTTAACTTCATGTAAACTGAAAAAAAAAAAGGACTGGAACATCAGCAGTTCATAGCTTGAAACGCATCAAACACACATAAAGGAACACATGAGCACAGAAGTATTCGTAACAGATCGTCCAGAGCACGCGCCGCTACGAAATCCAGAGTTAAATGGAGTAAAACTCTCCCTGTGGAAAAACATCTAGCTTGGCACCATAGGAGAATACAGACTTGTTTAAGTTTAATAAAAATAGCTTCTAATTAATACTTCAGAGTTCGAAAGTTTAGCAACAAGCACATGATCGGCTAACCCCTTTAAACAAACCAAAAAAGTCTTTCCTGCCACAAACGGCGATTATTAATCAGTGATTGCCGTGGCAAAAGCTCACATCCTGTAGAAGAGCTACATAAGTCAAACTACCACCAAAAGAGGCTAGAAAAATCTTAGGAAAAAGTGCTTTCAAAACCAAAGTAAACATTCAAGAATACACTGTAGGTGCTACGTTTTTGACAGCTCACTCAACTTGGAATTTTACCAAGCAGTAATAGGAAAATTAAATGTCTTTGCTAATAAATTATTCCTGATATTTTGTACCCTGTTATAGAGTATCTTCCATGTCAAAGTTGCCAACTTAATTCTCCCCTCCACTTAAAAATATCACATAATGCAAAGTTACAGTACTGTGTATTTTCTCTACCCATACCTGCAAAAATGGAGGAAATATTTCATACGGAAATAACCAATCCTTGCAGTAACAGCTTTTACATACAGTTTGTACGCTCCCCCCGTTCAGAAAAGCCTTTGACTGCAGAATACTCGTCGCTAGAACACAGCAATGGTTCCCACGTTATTGAAGGCCACAGAACATTTAACTACGTCTCATCTTCCTGTGTATGGACGAAAAGGAAAAGCAGGACACTTGGGAAGCTTGCTTCACGATATGCCGTCAGATCGGAGGTGGGCAGTTCGCCCGCTCAGGAGCGCCTCCATAAAGGGACATTAAAGGCGGTGAAAACCGGCTACGGGTAAAGTCAAAGGCCCACGGTTTTAAATTTAGGTCCAAGAGTTACCAATCATGGGACTAGCACTTACAGGCCCTTTGCACACTTATCCCAGTGAGGGTTCTAACTCTAAAAGGGTAAGAATACTTCTACCTGCAGTCCTGCAAAACACTGGCTACGCAGATTAAGCCACACCGTAAGGGGAATACGCTAGTGTAGTTGGTTAGACAGCTCGTCATCAACAGCCCCAAGGAGGTGTTCTGCCTCCCCTTCCAGAAGCACAGAGTGGGTTAAGTCCCCAGGCCAAATGCTTTGTTGAAACCAAGAGATTAAAGTGAGACTCTGCCATTCATCTTGCTAATATAAACGGAATGACATTGTTTGCATTAGGAAATTTTCCACTCAAATCCCCTAAGTGACAATAGCTAACAGGTACCAGTCAGATGATGTTGTCAGATCTCAAAAATAAGCTGGCATGGAGTTCAAACGGTTCAATCTATTTATAGTCTCCTAAGACAAAAAAAAAATAAACGCTGCCCTGCTAAGGGGCTGTTGGCTAGCGGGTGCACAGGTTTAGAAGTCTCTCACTGCTGAAAGACTAGTGCATAATACTGTAATTTAGCACACAGAAGAACACCGAAATCTCCGTCACCTACGTTACCAGAGCAATCTAACCAGTTCCTCACCTGCTGCTGGTGGATGCTGGCCACTAACTGTTGGCAAATCCAAAGAGCTATCAGACATGACATGCTTAAGATCTCCTCCCACATCAGCCAGTTTCATGTCAAACTGAACAGACAACGCGTCTTCGGAATCCTCCTTGCCGACACTGCTGCCACCGATAGAAGGGAGATCCAGAGACTTCACCGAAGCAGAGTCTTCTTTGGCCTGCTTGAAAGCTGCGACTTTGTCCACCAGGGACTTATCTGCGCTGTGGCACGTGGAAGAGAACTTGTTGGAGTGAAAGTCGGCGAAATCGTCATCGCTCTTCACTGAAGAAAGCGTGTTGTCCTTCGCCTCCTCCAAGCCTGCCCCAGAGCCTTCCAGAGAAAGCTGTTTGAAGATATCGTATTTGGTGGGCGTGGCGGTGGGGGCAGAACTCTGCCCACTCTTCCCCGCGCTGGCAGATGAGCCAGACTGAGGAACAGGACCGGCCTCTAGCTTAAGTGCATTGTATTTGTCATCTGGTTTTTGTTCGGAAAATCCACTGCTATTGTTGAAAGCCATAAAATCTGCAAAGTCATCTTGTCCGCTGGCTGATGCGCAGTTAGAAAATTCCCCAAAAAGGTTGAACTCTCCAAAGTCATCAGCTAAGCTTGAACTTTTGCTGGGTGCTGGTTGGGCAGCGGTAGATGGAAGGGGTGGGGGAGGAAAGGAGCCCGATTTTGATGTATTAAATGCAGGTGGAAAGGAGGGCTGCTTGTTTTCTCCAGTAGAGGAAAAGAGATCCAAGTCTGCGAGATTCAAAGAGGTCTTTGCTTGTGTTTGCTGTTTCGGCTGAACGGGCAGAGAAGGGAAGGACGTAGGGAAAGGTTTGTCAAAAAAATCTAACGGTGAGATACTGTCAGCGGTCTTAAAATCTGTGAAACCATCATCGGTTCCTGCAGGCTTGAATTCTGCAAGGCTGTCTCCTGAGAATAAAAACAACGAAAAAACAATAATAAGAAACCGCAGCGACAAACACACACATCATAGTCACACCATGCAAGCAAGCAAATTATTTCATGCAGCGTCAGAAGTTTTTATGCAAACTATTTAAATTAAGACCTCAGGATGCACGTAGAACTGCAAACTCAACTTCTAGGAACCACACAAGTTTCGAGGTCAGCGATTCTAATATTCATTCCAGCACACATTTAAGTCGTTCAAATAGCCTCAAAGTCACACTAATTCCCTTTACACTGAGTTAGTCAAAACAAACCATGACCAACAGATTCCAAAGGTGATCAGTACTGTCTCATTCAGCTTCCATACAAGTTCTTTTTCCCACCTCATCCTTCCCATATTTACCAAGCAATGGATGCAATCTTGAATTTCACTTATACCAAGACAGCGTATTTGCCATCTTACAGAAGCACTTCTCCCCCTCCCTCCCTTCCAAATATTGCCTAAATACGGTTTGCTCATGGGGCGTCACCAGAAGGCTGAGACAAAAGCAGCCCTGCTGACACGCTGAAAGGGGACCACAGGAGAGACCAACCAGACTTGCCTGGTGGCTGCAGGGACTCTTGAAACAAGCTCACTCAAAAGGAGGCAGACAGCCGACGAGCCTCTCCAGCTGGGCGTAACAGGGAACCCAACGGGTGGAAGAGACAAAGACCCCCAGGGAAAAGGATGAAAGGCAGTGATCCTAACATGCTGGTTTAGAACGTTTTTAATTTAAGCTCGTTTTAATTTATGTTTTCTTTCTGCCAGATACACCTAAACATCCTACAGTGTCAGGTGATCGGAACTTCAGTAACTGCAGCTCAGTAACTCCGGCATCTTCCAGCTTGTGCTACGACCGATCCCAGTTTTACTAGGAAGCTTGGAGACAGACTTTCACACCAAAGTGAGCATGATTAATCATCAGATGTGCAGATCTCTGGTTCAGCTGCCTACTGAATGTAAGATCATGCTATGTAAGGATTATAATTTAAACCTTATTAAACATTAGGTAACCATGTTTTCATTGAATTGACATCAAATATTTCGGTGTACCAACTGTATAAATTTCTTCCTGTTCATACGCAATTATTTTTTTTATACAGCAACTTCTTTTGAACACAAAACGTTAAGTTGTTTAACCCATTCACCAGCACATACGTACGGAGACGACTTGTCATTTTAAAGTATTGACACACACTTTAACACAAGTGTCCAACAAACAGGTTTTGTTCTGCTTTAGAAGTACACCATTAACAATTCTTAAGCTACCACATAATGTCATACTTAGCTTAAATTAGCTTAACCAAGATTTAAGAGAATACTCTTTAGAATGGTAGTACAGGACATATTCTTCCACTCTCCCTCCCCTCCAAATCAATTCGCTTGGCCCAGCAACAATACAAATATTCGTGAAACTGCTATTCATTGACCCAAACTAAAACGCCACAGCAAACTACACTTACTGATGAATTGCAAACTTTTCCATTAGAAATGTAAGCTGGTGAAAGGGTTAAGAGTGGTCAGACCTGGACAGCAAGCAAATACAGTCATTTTCTGTATTTGAGAACGCGTACGGGAAGAGACAAAAAGTCATTATTTCATTTCACTGCACGCATCTAATCCTGAAGAGGTGCTGAGCATGAGAACCTCACAAAACATTACAGGAGTTTCAGAAACCCAGTGTCTGAAAAAAAGAATCCCATCTTTGAAAAATAAGGAGTAGGAGTGAACTCAGGCAAGCACTTTTATCCTAGAATCTAAAGTTGTTTTCTAATAACGAAACAAAATGCTGGGTATAACATAGCTCCGTGGAAGGGCGGGTAAGTTAGTAGCGTGTTTATCTTCTGATCTCTCCACTGATGATATATGAAAGTTTTTCCCCATCTGATTAAAAAGATGAGATTACCACTTACATTGCATAAATGAGTTAGACACAGACAGTTCTGGAAAAGCCTTAGGGAGACTCTGCTTTTGTAATGACACAGATGTTGCACCTCAGATGCCACCTAGGTTTTACTTTTCCCAATCAAAACCAGTTCAATACGAATTTTAAAATAAGTGATCAGATTTATTGTTAGAGTACCAGAGGCCATGAAAAGTTTAAATTCTGGCCTGACAATAGAAAAAAGTTGCAATTTTGTCCAGAAGCATCTTATTCTGTCTTCTAAGAATACAGTTAAAATGAACAAATTCCAGCCATATGGTTATTTTAACATAAAACTCAGAAGCACCCAGAAGAGATGCCAATCATCTAGAAATACACTTTGTAGATTGTGCCAATAGTATATTACAGTATTTTTTCAGGATACCTCCTGCTAAGCTGTTCAGAGGAGCAGAAGCACCATTATTCTAGAATTATAGCAATGGAAATTCTGCAGCTCATAAAAATAACCACGAAAACACGTTAAAACAGCTCCAAACCCCATACTGCTTACCTACGTATTTGCTCTCTGATGGTTGCTCTAATTCACGGAAAGCACTATACTTGTCTCCACAATCTAGTGAATGTGAGAAAAGGAATATATTTACATAAAGATATGAGGAATTCACATAATAAATTATATGCTGATATAATTGCTCTGATTTTAAAAATATTACTATTTTATCAATGCCAAAACCAAGACATATGAACTATTGCAATAAATTGCTCACAGTGATTGTATATTTTCCTTTTACCTCCAAAAGCAGCTGTACTTTCAGAAGGCTTCTCAGCCGCAATTCCTTTAAACACAGCATACTTATCCGTTGATGAGAGTGTCTTATTACCTGGGAGTGGCATTAGTAAAGAAGGAACACTAAAAACAAAAGAGATAAAAGCAAAGTTCCTTAATTTATCCATCAGAAATCTACAATTCCAGGTTCTATTTAAAGGAGCCTTTCATTATGACTACACAATTTGGATCACTAAACCTGAGCTCGTACCCTAAAGAGTTCTTAACCAACAACCTGATGTAAACCACCTCAATATCCGTTAAGAGCAGGTGAAGAGGCAGAGGGGTAACTGACAGTGAATTCGCACTTTCTCTCACCTAACTGTGTTTCTTTAGGCCAGAAGTCAGTTTTCACCCTTCTTGATTTAAATTTGTACCAAAACACGAACAAAACACTCCAGAACTTTACACCCCAGGAATTCTTAGTCCAAGAAAAAATAAGCAGAGACGTACCCCCGGAATCACTGCCGTTTGATTGATCACTTTGCCCAGGGCAGCTTAAGGACAGTTCTCCCTGACAGAACTAGATATAGTAAAGAGTTAAAACCGCATGAGATCTTGCCAGCTCCATACTTTCAGCTTATCTGCTTTGGATTATATTTCATTACATATTGCCAAATTAAAAGAATAAAGTGGAACCGCTGTTCAAAAGGCAGGAAAGGATAACTTTGAATTTCTGTCAGCGCAAATCAGTGAGTGTAGGCAGCTATCTAATCAGCAAAATAAGGATTAGTCCTCAGTTACACAAGCAAATCTTTTTTGCCCATAAACACACTCCACACAGTAAAACGGCCATAATAACCTAACACCGCGTTAGCAACTGCTGTAAGATTCAGAAGACGTTCTGCGAGAGCTCTGCTCGCCCTCCACACCAGCCCCCTTATCAGGCCCTGGCAGCTCCACAGAACAACATCCTTTACATATGAATGATGCATTTTACCTCTCGTTTATGTCATTCAACACTACGCCCATTGAAAATGGGAATGAATTTCTATGGCGTTCTTCGGCCTGGAGCAAGAATCTTTCCAGAGCCATTGAAATCTCCTTATCAGCAGCCTACAAGCAACACACAAACCCAGCACCAGCACACTCGTGTGAGAACGATGGTCTGTGATGCTTGCAGACAGACAGGGCGATGTCAAAAAAATATGGCTTATGGTGATATAATTAAATTTCACATCACTGCAAAACAGGCTATTAGATATGCAATCTTGGCAAATGGAATGGTTAATCATCTGTACTCTACAGAGGGCTTTTTTTTTTAAATAAAGCTCCATAAGCAATTAGATTATAGCTCATTGTAACATTCTGTTCAAAACTGAACGCTTCTACAACTGAATAAAGAGAACTGCTGCAGTGACAAAGAAACACTTTCTTAATTTTTTATTTTTTTTTTTAATTCCCCTTGTGGAATCTACCAACAATGTTTCTGTTAAAGCTTTTCTGTCGCCAAAAGTTTTAATTGCAAAATGACATCTAACACAAATCAAGATATGCTCAAAACAGAGCATCTTCAGATGCACGTGGCATGGACTGACATCAGCAAAATGAAATCTCTTACACAGCACGCCGTTAGGCACGCTGTAACAGAACCATTTGTTTCAGCGTCCCCATTCGACCTCCCAGTTGAGGAAGGAACTGGTAATCACTGCTTACCTGGAAAGGACTAGTTCTATTTGCAACTAAGAACAGTCAGTTCAACGGACAGAAGATTTGTCTGTCTACAATGAGACACCTGGGAGGTACAGAAAAGTTTGCCACGTGCAGCAAAAGGAAACAACACTGAGATTTTGTAATCACAGGACTTTGAAAGTTGAATTGTAAACTCTCAGAGGGAGTCAACGTGCTTACTTATTTTGTTACACAGATTTTCCTTGATCTGGAATTACATGTTGGCCGTCTCCCAGATGAAAAGCCAAGATTGCTGGAGTCTGAATGAGATTTCAGCTGAGATTTATGGTCAGTTATCAGAAGTTTAAGCACTGGCCAGAGAAACGATAAAAATGACAAAAACCCTGTCCACTGGAGTTCTCAGTCATTTAGGAGTATGACGTTGTGCTCTCTGCATGAATTTTGGGGTCCATATTCAGGGCCTGAAGAAAGACCTTGATGTCAGCAAAGAGGTTCTATCAGCTCCAACAAACACGGGGTCACACTTTCAAGGGAAGCAGGCAGCACTAAATGCAGAACTCTCTGCCTCGGTGTATTTTTAGTGAATAGCTTCGTGTAAGATTTTTGCCTGAATGCACAGTATGAAGTAACTTCCAGTTGCCTGTGCAGTAGTATAAACACTTGAAAACCCATCCCCACACCTTGCAAACGCAATTTACCTCAGCGTGCTGACTAGAACGCTAAAGAACGGCCAAGCACCTCTGGCACAGCAAATGTCAGTTTTGATTCAGAAAGCCTAATTGTAGTTGTAACAACCTTCAAAAGAAACTGTCGGAGTAGAAGTCAGGTGACAGAAGAAAATTACAGGCTAGAAAGCTACCCACAAAGGAGGAAAACATTTCATTTCTTAAAAGAGTTCTAAAACACTGAAGGGGTGGAAATCAAAGATCTGCTACCTGCTCCGGTGCTGTGAACTGGCTGCTTTGGAGGAGCCAGCCACATCCCCTTGGAAATCAGTGAAAGAGTCATCTAGTGAGCCAGACTTTGAAGCATCTTGAAACTCCTGGAAGTCATCATCTTCTGGTTTTACTACCTGAATTACAAACAACATGCAAATTGCTATGCTGTTGTCTTTTCAAATTGTTACACAGCATGAAAGCAGTTCAGAGTGGCGAGTTTGACTTAAGAGGAGAAAAAAAAAAAAGCCAAAGAAGGAAAAAGCCTTTCAACATGAGCACGCAAAATTAGCATGGGCAGTGTTTCCACTTCACCTGCACCTCACCCAACTCAAAACACACACAAGGTGTACAGGATTACAAGTAGCATGCATGAAGAACGGGGGAACAAGGAACTCTACTCCTTTCACATTAAATGTATTATTGATCACAGCCATGAAATCTTTTAATACAGGACAAATATCAATAATTTAAAATCAGTACACACAGCGAAAGCATCAGAAGAAATACTTCCCAAAGAAGGATGAACCGTATTTGCAAACACCAAAGTTTATCCCCCACATGATTTACAATGTTGTAAACCAAAGTTTTTCATAGTTCTCAGCTTCTCCTGAAAACTGACTTATTTCACCAGCTAACAGTCTGTTATGTAGTTTAACCTAAAATTCCATTTTATGTGCATTACAAAACCCTAACTACAACTAAAATCCTCTTTAAATGCTATTAGTTGGTAATAGAGAACGCTTTGGTACCTCTTCTAATGCCACCAGCAAGAAACGGAAAAAACCAAAGTAATGTCCTTAGCGGCATCACTTCATGCGTTCAGATGTCACGTGCCAGATTTCAGCTCCAATTTCTGCTGTTTACCTCAAGTCTGCTGTCACTACGTGGCTTTGAAAGAGTCAGGCTAATTCTCTTTCGAGGACAACGGAGATGTGCACGCCGCAAGAGCGAGCTCACCTGACTCGGCGGGTAGGACGGCACGAATCCTGCCGAAGGCTGTCCTGCAGCTCCGCCCGCTGGTGCCGTGATGCTCATGCCCATCACGGCCGGCCCGATGCTGAGAGGCATGGAGACCGGCGGGGCGGTGGGCAGCAGAGGCTGCTGGCTCACTGGGGCAGGCAGCGGCATCGGAAACCCAGTTAAAGTAGGAACGGGGGCGGCTGGAAACTGGTTTAAGACGTCAGGACTCACTGCAGGTATTCCTCTCTGCAAAGGCAGGGAAGCAAAGACAACCATAGACACACGTGCCCACCCCCCAAAAAGGCGTCCCGCATTCGCAGTGCCACTCTCGAGCTTGTATTACCGAAATCACGAGAGAGCAGGGTACTGGTCACGCTCCCAAGCAAACCTTCCGAAGCAAAACGCGCCATCGAGGGCCCGGGTAAGCGAATCCTGCTCAACACCCTGACTGCTGGAGTTCCACCGAGTGCAACGACACCCCTCTGGGTGGGCAGAGGCATTTGACAGCATTTCTCTTTGGCTTCCAGCAAAGCAAGCTAGCAAGCAAAGCCGCGCTGAACCTGGCGTGTGCTATACCGTCCTTCCCACACGCCACTCCCGCAAGGTGCCTCAGCTTCAATCTTCATCGCTCTAGATACTCTTGCCTTAGTTTCCACACGGGGCTGGTACTTAGAAATGAACTGCTAGGAGATGACGCTAGGTTGACAAAGAATGGAAGCCTGAAATTCCACTGGTTCAGGAGAGAGGTAGCAAGTCTAGCTATTCACAGACTAAGGGATACAGCAACCACATAGTTTGAGGAAAACAGATGGGCACACAGCAGAAGAAAACCAGTATTTTCTACTTGAAGAACATATACGTGTGTCTGGTAAGTGTATCTAAGAACTACCTTCAACTGACACTAAAGAAATGTAAGTGCAGGGGATGAAATCATAATCCCACTGGAGTTACAAGGGGAGTTTCTCCTCTGGCCTTCAAGAGAAGCAGGATTTTACTACAGGTGGGGTAATACCGGCCACTTGTGCTAACACGCCACCGTGGCAGGTTAGTTCAGCGAACTGCCTTTCTGCACTCGCCTCCGAAGCGTTCGTCCTACCTGAGTTACTGCTATCATAGCCAGGACGGAGTAGAGCTCCTCTTTGGTGAGCTTCCCGGGGGTCGTGCGGTTGGCCAAAGCCCAGATCTGTCCGAGGGTCTCTCTGGGCAATCCGGACGACATCAGTATGGGATACAGTTTAGCGGTATCTATTCCAGCAGGAGTCAAAGTGGTTTCTAAAATTTTCTTATACAACTCTGTTAAGAGGGAGTCGGTATTAGGCAGTGACAACTGCTGTTTTCAAGTGTATTTAAGACTGCTTTTCTATTTTGTCTCAAACTCAACATTACATCAAATTAGTAACACTCAAAGCGTAAGGTGAGGCAACAGCATTCTGGCATTGTACTGTATCACCACGTTTCACCTCAATGCATTATTGGATGGCCTTTATAGACAAGTTTAACACGAGAAAATTAATATCTTTATATAAAATACAGTTAGTGCTCCATTTCAAAACACGTTTCTTTAATGAAATTACAGGATAATCCATATAAAAAGATAGTGATAACAGCTTTATGTATTTAAACCTCAGTGTAACCAGTATTTACTACAGCATTTCATTTTCTGTTGATGTATGCTATTTGCATATTATAAGATAAATAGCCTTAAGAAACGAGCCTGCTTAATTACAAGACAGGCCAAAACCCAGACTACCCATGAAAGCAGTATTATCAGCAATGCAACCTCTACCAGCATGCTCTGCTGTCACAACAAATTCTAGATTAAACATTTAACATGCTTGAATAAAAGCCGTACTTCTCCAAACGCAGATAAAGCCAGCACAAATATGTAACGCATCAACGATGTAATGACTGAGGAATGATGCTTTGATCAATAAATGACAACGTAAGCGCACGTGCATTCACGTCTTACGTTGACCACTTTCTCGTTTACCTGGGACCAAGCTGTCATTGTAAATCCAGGGAGGCATCATCTGCTGAATTGGGTCCTGTGAAGGGAATACTCCAACTCCTAAACACATTCCATTCAGCAAGAAAAAGACAGACATTTGTGTTAGGATATAGAGATTCCGACTATAAAGATCTCCGAGAGTAGATCGCAGTGGGTCAGTACCATTTAGCATTTCAGGCAAAGATTTCAGGTAGGAATCACTGTGCTCACAGGAAAACCAGCTACTGCAGGAATATGTATTTCAACATAACTCGAATTATTTGGCAGCAACAGCAAGAATATAGTTATATACATAATGAAATAAGGAGCTCCTCATTTGCCTCCCTCTTAATTTCTAGTTGTACAGAAGCTCAAGTCTCATTGTCTCCTAAAGTTTCATAGCAGCAGTTCTCTGCCATATCAAATTTATTCTTCCCATCAAATATTAGGGCTACTTACTGCATAAATAAATCCATACCTACCATAAGAACCACCACGTTCCTCCAGAACTTCCTTACCAGGGAAATCTACAACCAGCCTACCAGACTGAACCCCAGCAAGATCTTACCCCACGTTCCCAAAAACGTACGCATTGCCCCACGGCTCCTCGTCTTCAGATCACTACAGGCTTTCAGAACGCACCTGCAACGCTTTACTCCCTGTGAACTGGTCATTTCCTTCTCCGCTCTGCGGACTCTTCCCCTCAGTCTCATGGTTTTACTTTCTATCTAGCCCCCTCTAAGCAGATTTTATGCTCATCTTGGGTGGAGCTCTGACAAAAAGCAGAGTGATTTCAGATTGGATTGTCTTTCCCAGTGCCCTTGCCTCTCCTTATCTTCCGCACGGATTCTCTCCTGGCTGCAGTCTAACTTCTAACCATCCCACAACTCCAAGCACAATTTAATATAAGCAATCCCTTCCATTTCACCAGCCAAGTAAAACAAATTTGCTACTTCCTCCAATCTCATTATTCTTCAGCTTTAACCACCCTTCCATACTACCACCCTTCTGCATCCTATCAATTCTTGCTTCACGCCCTTGAATTTCTCCAACAAAATTCAGCCCCTTAAAAACCAAATAATACGAGAAATGAAAAGGAATTCTCAGCCACATTTAGATGACAGATAGGACGGTCTTACTCAAAACTTTGATACTACCCAGGTGACTAAGGGTCTGCCATTTTCCAGCATTATCACTTGGCTACTGAACTTCTGTTCCTCACAAAGTATTTCAGCTCATCCTTCAAAGCACTCGCAACAACATCTGGAACTATTCTAAACTATCGCTCACCTGCAGGCTGTATTTACACTCGCCCTGCCTCCCTCTAGTTTCCCGTCCCCCTCTGCGCCCCCCACCCCTTTTTTAAATCAGCCATCAGATTGTGTTGGATTTGTACAAAATGAACAATGCAACCGACTGAACTACGAATAAATGAACAGCTCCTATTTCATGCTGTATATTCTTTAAAGTTAAGTCACTTTTAGCAATTTACTGTGTACTACAAAGCCCCTCCACTTATTAAAAATGTCCATTCAGATCATTTAATTTCATCCAATAATGTTTTTTTAAATATATTGAATGAGAAAACACTTGAAAGCAACATATCCAATGACTGAGGAGAGGAACACAGGAGTTCATTAATAAAAAGTTATAGTACTTCTAGGAAAGAAGTTAACTGCTTGAGAAAGTGCCCAATTCAATTATCTACAGACCAGGAGCTTCCTCCCCTTCGACGTCTCCTCTCACCCCCCAGTACAGTGAGATTGCGCAAAGGACTACGTGTGTTTTTATCATCCTGGACTACAGTGGGGCTCGTGTTTCTTGCAACCCTGGAGTGCAACATCAGAGCCCTGATCAAGGTGCATCAGAGACCTTGCATCTATTTTGACTGGAATAAAACAAAACCAAACAGTCAGTAGTCAGCTTTAATAAAATCCAAATTGGAACTAAAGCTTGCCTGGAGTTTTCAGCTAGCCCTGCTTTTGAAATCTGGATCCCTAAAGCACAGGTAGTTTTAGACATAACACAGATGAGTGGCAGATTGTCTGGGAAACAAGTATTAACTAGCTAAGAGTTTTAACCTAACAAGATGACATCCCCTCAAACAGTTAAAAAATGAAAACCCACCACGACATTGACCATCTTTAAACAAGTTTTTAACAAGTTTCTTTAAATAATTTTTTTTAAAAAAAAAAAAGTCTTTAGAGAGCACATCTATTTTTTCCCCAAGAAAGAGGACAGAATATTTTAAAACAGCAGACCTGATTAAACAAACATGTTAAAAGTGATTACAGCAGTAAACTCACGTGGAAAAAGTTCAGAGCAAAATCACAGTTGTTATACTTTCAGCAAGGAGCAGGAGGCACTGACACATTATTCAAGCAGGCTTTCAGAGCAAAATTATGCAGGATTGGCCTCAGAATTAGTGTACAGAGTATTAGCATTCAAGCAGCATCTTATTAGATTTAAATTCTGTCAAATGTTTCATTTGCTCACCACGCTCTTCAACTGCTATGTTTTGTTCTGAAGCCTTGTGCACCTCTGCAGCAGTGGTACCACTTTCATGTCCACCTACAACATCCCAGTCATTGATGGTTAGACTGGGATGAACTTGGCTTGCAGCCGAAGCTTTGTGCCCAACTTCGGATGTTTTAAGTTTGGTTTGCTCTTGTTCAGATTCATTTGAGCCATTATCTAAGACTTTCTCCTCCAAGGAAGAGCCTGAATAAACAGCAGGAGTAATTATTTATACTTTGTTATCAAGCACCCAGATCGCAATTCCACACTTGCAAAGGAAAAGTACTACTGGTACCACTGATGAGTTACCGAGATGAGCACCCGTCCCAGCCCAGACCAACAGCACCACCCTGTTCAAACACCTCCACAGCCCGATTCTGCCCTTTACTTACCATGCACACACAATAAATTCAACAAACAAAGAGCAACAACTATTTTCTGTATTAGGATTACGGCTGCATAACCACCTAGGCGGCAGCAGCAGAAGTGTCCAACATCCACTCACCCCTGCACCAGTCTTCACGTTAATCTCACCCACACCCGTTTAGCCTCCAAGAGAGGAAGAAGCATACAAGTGCCCCACTTGAGCATAATGGTCATTTTTTTATACCACCACCTCAACTTTATCTTTTTCTACTACACAGGCTCACGAAGTTGCTAGCACACAAGACTTAATTCACTGAAGATCAGCCACATGCATAGTTTGCAATCTTTGGATCCACACGTGACTTGCTTTCACAGTGCTGTTCTGAGGGAAGGAAGAAGGGGACTTAAATCATCTTTCCCCACGGATCAGAAGGTTTCTGTTTAATTGCCTATACATTACTTCTTTCAGCCAGACTGAAAAAAAAAACCCAACAAAATAAGTAAAGACTCTGCGTAGCTCTACGCCAGAAGGTGACATGTAAAAAAAGATACTTTAATTACCTGTTTTATGAATATTGGGTGAAGATGCAGAGGTAGGAAAATAAGGAACCTGCCCAGTTGTACCATGCAGGATGGGTAACACTGGAGACTGGGCTGGAGGGAGAGGTTGGACCACAGCCTTTTCTGAAAGCAGTTGCCCAGCCTCCGCAGCAGAATGGAAAGGCTGGAAAGGCTGAGAGGTGGGTTGAGGCACCAGTTTGGGGATTTCAACAGGCCCTTGTATAAAGTCACTAAATTCTTCATCATCGAGAAAAGCAGAGTGGGAAACAGATACAGCGGGATGGGATGAGGCGGGATGATCTGTAAAATGGAATGGACACACAATGCAAAGTGATGAGGAAAAAGGTTCACGGGCGGAAAGGTCGGAAACGTGGCACATACGAGGTATCCACAGCGAATGGGCGAGGGGCAACAGCGGCGGATGCGTGATTTGACAGAGATGCAAAGAGTTATTGTCAGCCTAACACACACACAAGGGAAAACTGAGCAGCCACTTCCAACCACGCATCTTCTCTCCCAGATTTTTACGCTGTAAACGCGTTGAAACTTGGTTCTTAACACCGGCTCTGAATGTATTCTACTTGTCTTAGACTGGGTCAAAACCAATCAAGAGGTTATATTTCAAACTGGAGATAATGGGGCTCCACACAGGGGGACATGCTCCATCAAAGGAATGTGTTATCCTCAGAAACCCAACAATATATCATAAGATACAAAAGAAGTGTCTACTCATTTAGACAATTTTCTGCCTGATCCTTTCCATAGTTACCCGTTTTAACAAAACTGATGCAGGATGGGCAAATCTACAGACAATGGAAAATTGTCAGAAACCACCTGTAACCTCAAAATTATCAAAGCACGAACCCACAGTAGAGATAAGGGCTGTATATAGCAAAAAGCCTGTCTAGGTAAGCTTTGTTTCAGGCTAAACACAGAACAAACTCTACTAACCCCCAGGAAACCTTTAGCAGAAATGGTTACAAATGCAGTAATTACTGAGAAGAGAATACAGAATTCGGTTTGACCATGCCCAGGCAATGGTACACAAGTAAGCCGTCACAGCACACCAGAGTCATTCTACAATGTTTTGATCACTCTTAGCACTTGTACAGCACTTCCCAGCTTCAAAAGCAGCCCACAAAATATTGATTAATGCTTTGACTAGAAAAGAACAAATGCATTATCAGTTTCCATGCTATGTCACATTAAGCACAGCACATCAAGCTTTCTTTTAAAGATTCCAAGTCTTCTAATAAAAGCTGATATCTAACACCCTCATAACCCGACCAAGCAATCAGTTGCTAGAATGACACTTTATTTTACAAAACAGTTAATCCAGTTAATCCACTCACTTTGTACCACCAAGTAAAAATACTTCTTGGAATTAGTTCCCTCTGCTGAGGATTTCAAACATTGCAGTTTTATTTTCACTTGGAAGATGAGAAAAAACAACAAACCTGGTTTTTTTGGATGCGATGCTGGTGTCGGGTGCATTTTAGCATCTCTAGAAAAACCATCTAAATTTCCTTTAATAGCTTCCAAAGCGTCATCCCTGCTTTTTTCACCTGTCTGAAACACCACAGAACACATTTAGAAAAATTCACAGAACAGCTGAGTTTTCTTTCAGTATCCGCACTTCTTCAGTGCAAAAACCAGCAATGCCTGCTGCGAGATTAAACCCTCCTTTCTCCAGCAGTGCTTTCCTGAAGCATATCAATAACTCCCATATTCAGACTGTGTTTATCTTGCAGACGACACCGTCACAGCGTTTCTCAGGCTTTAGACGTACCTTTATGCCCAAGAACAATACATAAACCTGACTCAGCGATTTGTATTCTCGCAGATAAGAGCCTTCGAGCTCATTGCAAGCGTCCAAAACTTCAGACAAAGTTAACAAACAAGCAACCAACCGTTCTCGATTCTAGAAACTCAGTCTCTTCCCAAATGTTACACACCAGGTTGGTTTATTTTTCAAAAGCTGACTTTGTTTTCAACACCAGACTTTGTTTACAGTACACCAAGAGCGTGTAAAGGACTGACTATTCCAGATGCTTTTCAAGATGTAATCCGATGTGTCAGACAAGTTCCCCACTTGCTTATTGAAAGAGACCATTCCACCAAAAGTCACTAAAAAAACCTGAAGAAACACCCTGTTGATTATTTAGGACATACCTTCGGTTTCACGCTGCTTAGGAGTCTCAGCTTTTGTTTCTGCTCTTCAAACTGGCGCCGTTTTCTTTCTTCTTCTAAGAATTTCTGCTGGTGCTCAAACCTCTTCCTGAAGCAAAATGATTTTAAAAAAAAAATCTAAAGATAATTTTTCATGACAATTTGCAGGGCAAGCTTCTGCTTCATTTTTCCATTTCTTCTGTCTCAAATTCAGACAGCTTGGTGCACACATTTCTGTTTCTTCTCAGAGCTGTCCAACAGCCACCACTAACTTCATAGATGGCCTTCAAATGCAATGGAATGATATCAACAATATTCTACAGCCCCAAAAGGACTACTTTTCCAGAGAAACTACCCCTATTTTTGTGCGTGTGCACCACCCCTCCAGACTACACCTGCCCCTTAAAGAAGAAGAATTCCCCAAGAGTCAGCAAAGCGTCACTTACTGTTGCTCCTCTGCAAACTGCTTCTGCATGTCAGGGGTGTACTGCGGGGCTGCGGGACGCATCCCCAGGAACGAAGCCTGTCCCATGTAAGGCATTCCGGTCGCTGGCATCGGCCCTAAGGGCATGCCACCCTGGAACAAAACAAATAACACAACTCCAAGTTGGTTTTTTTTGCGTAGAAAAAGCCAAACCACTGGCAATTACACCCTGCCAGGTTGCAGACGAGGTAGATCTCGCAAAACAGGAGCATTAAGAACAGTTGGACGAGCAGTGCCTGAGCACAAACTGGTACGGGACGAAGCACGGGTCACTCGGTAGATGGCACTCTTCCCTCTCAATAACGAGCTACAATCCTTAACGGATCTTCGAAGCCAGGGCGATCTGCTGGTCAAACCCAAAAAATCAAGACGTCAAACCCATAGAACCTACCCCAAGAGCAGGAAGGTTACAGGCATCCCTGCACATGGGTCAGTACCATGCTTTTGGGTTTTCTTGGGGTTTTTCTTTCCTATTCCAAGGGGTTGCATAATACTTTTAAATTCCCTGCTGGAGGTGCACACTCCTAACCAACACTGGATGCTGGCAAAGCGTGGTCTTGTCAGTTTGCAAACACAGCTTGTCCAGGGGACCCCGGGGGGCAGACAGTATACAACAACAGCCGAGACTTGTCTGAATAAACTGCATCTGCATCAGAAACACTTGCTGAGAACACACTCTGGTACAGCTATAGCAGCAAAGTTTGCCTAATATAGGAGGCGTCAGGAAATAATTTACTTTTCTTACCACTCATTTTGTATTTGGTATCAGAACACACAGGATGAGAACAAAAGCTGTTTATTATTTTCAGACCGGCTCTCAGAAAAACATCTTCCTGCTATAAATTTTACAAAATTAATCTAATAAATTCCAAGTGGGGGTGGGAAGGGAAGGGAGTGTAAGGAGATGGCAAGACACGATAAATTCCATTTGTCACATAGCAATTTGGCTACAAAGCCATGACAAAACATTAAGTTTCAGCAAAGTGCAAATTTGTACATAAGCACATACGGTGCTAAATAGAAAACAAAAGATTAAAAGAGAGAAAACATAATATTAGCTACTCATATTTCACTCTTATTGCTCAATTAGCAACAGCAGAGTTAAAGACAAAGTTACTTCAAGTAAGAAAAAGAATGAGAATGAAACACAGGAAGCAGGACAAATGGGAAAAATCGGTCACGTGAGAAAATACAGCACATTTGAGAGATTCCTGGCTGCCTAGAACAAGGTCTTTAAAAAGGAAGTTTATGAATTGCCACCTACACTCAGGAAACTTAACTCTATTAACTCCAGCGTTTGAGTTGCAAAGCGATAAAACAATTCAGTGAATTGCTCCTGACCCATCAGATTGTGTACAGTCACTTCTTATCGGCTTATAAAGGCCTCACTTAAAACACTACACGATACCCCGCCTTAATGGTAAGTACATAAAACCAAAGCAAAAGAAGAAAAAGCACGAAGCAAGATTAAAAAGACAGCAGAGAGGTATGTTGTGGGAGTTTCGAGTCATAGCTACTTAACAATTCAATACTATCACTAACCACCCTTCGGAGTAGGTGGCATCTGGTTGCTTTTCAACATCTCCCTCATGCTTTTGTTTCCTTTCCTGTTCAGAGACCACGCTTCTCTTATCACATTTCGGTGTCATAACACACATAATGAAATGAAAGTTCAGACTCTGACATCTTTGAGTGGGCTATAACGTCCAAGTTACTTTAAATACTACTCATGCTGTCCTTGAACTACACCCTCACTTCTCTCTACTCTACAACAGTGAGTGATGTATGCCAAACTCCCCCACTCTATCCAGATCCCAGCAAAACTTGGAGAATTCTTTAAATTATCAGAAATATCTTCAAAGAGAATACCACAAAATACGACGTCCCACTATGGACTAGCGCCCACACCTCAGTTTCTAGCCAAGCTCCACCCCACTGCAGTTGTGAGAGGACAGCGGCACCGCTGTCACCCTTCGGACAAGCACCAAGGTGTCTCGCTGCGGTGCACATTTCATCGCCACGCACCTGCATGGTCATGGGTCCCGGAGGCATCTGCGAACCGTAATTCATTCCCATCATGCCTGGCATGTTGGACTGCATGACAGGAACCATTGGAAATCCTTGCTGTTGCATAGGGATCATCCCTACAACGAAATATTACACGTGGTAAGCTCCCAGTAAGCGTTAAAGGTTTTCTTTTTTGACTAAACCAGCAAAGAAAAGGAAAAAATTCTCAGTCTTGCTGGACTGCTTAAAAAAAAAAAAAAATCAAAAAATAAACTACGCTGCAGGCAGCCACAGCATTTCCCTATTTCGGTATCGGTCAGTCTAAGGGAAGAAATGTTAAGGGGCTTTCACAGTAACTAAGCTGATGAATCCTCCCACCATCCCAAGGATTCTCTGAGGGTTTCTTCCCGTATGATTTTTGAAAGGGTCATTTCCAATTAACGAGATTTAATTAACCAGGTTGACTGGTGCTGAAAATTGTCCGTTTCTCTTGAAAGGGAAAACTGATGAACTGGCAGCTTTTGAAGATAAGTCTTGGGAAATAAACTCATCATTTCACAAGGCAACTTCACCCTCTGATCCAGCTGGATAACTTGCCTGTAGGTTAATTAGCCCACTACATATATTAGAATGGTTACGATATTTGTCAGTAAAAGCTAAATGTCAGCGAAATTGGACAAATCGAGTTGGAACGTATTAATTCACTGAATAAAGTTTCAGTATTTTCATATCTCATCTTTTCCAGTCTTGGGGGACACACACTGACACACATTGGTTACCAGCACACCGTGAGATAATTATAACTGTGCATAACTGAACATCACACACAAAAGCACTCCAGGAGGGACGCGACACACTCAGGAATAATCCTTAAATCAGTCCCTGAGACTTTTTAGAAGAAAACTCCCCACTTT